AGGTGAGTGGATTGCCTGAGCCTGCGGGTTCGAGACCCGCCCGGGCAACTTGGTGAGACCGCATCTCTACAATAAATGAAAAATCAGCCAGGCGTGGTAGTGTGCACCTGTTGTTCCGGCTACTTGGAAGGCTGAGGCGGAAGGATCACTGGAGCCCAGCAGGTCAAGGCTGCGGTGACCAGAAGCGTGCCACTGTACTCTAGTCTGGGTGACGGAATGAGACTCCAACTCAAAAAGAAAAAAAAAGTTACCCAATTGGCTGGTTAGAGGCACAGCTGGGGCTAAACCAGGTGGTGAAGAATGTGTCCAGGGGACACATTGGATGGATTGGAGACTAAGGACAGGAAGACCAGCTGGGAGGCCACAGGACCATCAGTTAGGAGGTCACAGGGCCTGATGGTGACCAAGGATCCAAAATGGAAGGGGAAAAAGTAAAGTGCATGGAGGAGTTGGGGTCAACAGCTGGTTGAGTGAGGGGATGGAAGTAGGAGGTAACTGGGATCTGAGTACCACTGGGAAGTCCAGAGGGACTGGGTATGGCAGGAATGTGTGAGTTCTCATTTGGGCTTGTTGACCTCGGGATAGACCCTTTTTTGTTTTTTTGATTAAGAGTCTCATTCTGCCACCCAGGCTAGAGTGCAGTGGCATGATCACAGCATCACAGCCTTGACCTGCTGGGCTTAGACGATCCTTCAGCCTCAGCCTTCCAGGAAGCTGGAATCACAGGTGTGTACCATACCACCTGACTAATTTTTTGATTTATTGTAGAGACAAGGTCTTGTCAAGTTGCCCAGGCTAGTCCTGAACTCAGGCAGTCCTCTCGCCTCAGCCTCCCAGAGTGCTGGGATTATAGGCATGAGTCACCACACCCAGTTCAGGATGGAAGTCAGGGAGAAATGTCAGTCAGCAAGCAGCTGTAGCCATAACAGCATACCCTTCTTTGACAGCTGATAACATGATTTGATTATCCAAGAACCCAAAATAGCCTTTTATTCCGCATGTATTTTTGGTAACACTCTACTTGGGCATATTGGTTGAATGTCGTTGTTAAGAATAGTGCTCCATCTCTTGGTGTAGAAGTGATACCGCAATTCCTCCTACCCTTCAACTCCTTCCTAATGGAATGTTTAGAGCTGGAATTGACCTTGTGAGTGGTATCACATAGCTGCAGCCAAATGTAATTTTAATGGTGCCAAAATTTAAGCCCAGAAAAATAGCTGTCCTAAAGTGGCAGCCAGAAAAGAAATCCCCCACCCCAGCTAGCTTTAACAGAAAAGGAAGAAGAGATTATAAGAGAGGAAGTAAAAGAAAAAGGATTTCAATCCTGATTAAAAGTGACTTGTCCCTTACCAGAGCCTGAAAGTAGGTGGGCATTTAGAATTGCCCCCTAACTTGGAGAGCCACATGTGCTGGATCCCAGAATATATCTCTGACAAAAAAACACCTCATTACTTTTTCTGTGATACTAATATAATTTGTATTAATTTTATGTATAATATATAATGCTTATACAAGTATATTAATGTATACATTAAATATATAAATGTTTGCATATTAAAATTGTATGCATATCCAAACGCACTGTTCATACAACACCAGGCCACACCCAACTATTCAGCAATACAACTAAAAAATCAGTACCTGCTTTTAGAACTTCATGACTTCTTGAATTCACAGACATCTATCAAAAGGTTTGCTGGAACAAATATTACTTAGGGAAGTTTGCTCGAAGTCTGAGAAACCCATCCCATCCTCTAAAATCTGTACACACACACGCACATTTTTTTTGAGTCAGTCTCATGCTGTCACCCCAGCTGGAGTGCAGTGGCATACTTGTGGCCACCGCAACCTCAACCTTCTGGACTCAGGCAATCCTTCTGCCTCAGCCTTCCAAGTAGCTGGAACTACAGGTATGTGCCACCACACCCGGCTAATTTTATGATTTATTGTAGAGATGAGGTCTCACCAAGTTGCCCAGGCTGGTCTCAAACTCATGGGCTCAGGCAATCCTTTGATGTCAGCCTCCCAAAGTGATGGGATTACAGGTGTGAACCACCGCACCCCGCTTTTTTTTTTTTTGATTGGAGTCTCATTCTATCACCCAGGCTGGAGTGCAGTGGTGCTGTCATGGCTACCACATCCTTGACCTCCTTAGCTCAGGTGATCCTTCCATCTCAGCCTTCCAAGTAGCTGGAACTACAGATGTGCGCCACCATGCCTGGCTGGTTTTTTGATTTGTTGTAGAAATGAGTTCTCACCAAGTTGCCCAGGCTGGTCTCAAATCCCTGGGATCAGGCAATCCTCTTGCCTCCGCCTCCCAAAGTGCTGGAATTGCAGGCATGAACCACCACACCTGGTAAAACATAATTCTTAATTATCGACCTGCAGTCATCAAGTCTTTACTGAATGCCTCCCATGACCTTCATATTAGTTTTCTTACTTGGTAGAGTGTTTATGGCTCAGGGAGTGTTTCTGTTTCCCTGATCTCATTTGATTCTTATGACAACTGTGGGCAGAAGTCAACACTGACTTCACCTGCTGTCTCTTGTTGGCCCAAAAGATATTTAGGGTTCTCTGACTTAGGGCTTAGGGAGTCTGGTTTGGGAAGATGAGTTATTTAAGCTAATGAATGAACCTTTGAGTGCTAAACTGAGAAGGCCCATTCTTAGGAGGGCGGGGGTCCAGAAAAGAAGCAATCACGAGGAGCCCCAGAAGGCCCAGTCAGCTTTGATAGAGCAAACAGGGCTTGAAAGGTGTCTTGAAAGAGTCTTATATTCATTTATTCAGCAGCAAGCATCAAGGCTCTGATGTAATCTTGATACAGTGACGTAAAAGACTGATGAGGTGCCTACTCTCACGGAGCTGACGCTCCAGTGGAAGGGAGACATAATAAATTAAACGAAATAAATGAACAAAACATTCAGATAAGTGCTCTGAAGCAAATAAAACAGGACTACTTTAGATTAGGTGATCGGGATGGCCTCCTCCTAAGGAGCTGACTTTCAAACCAATTTGTCAGTCACAAGAAGCACCTAGTTGCTTTAGGCTCTATGAGCAGAGCCTGCCAGGCAGAAGAAGATGCTGGTGCAAGGAGTTGAAGTAGTAATGTGCCTGGAACTGAAAGAAGGCTCCTGTGATTGGCGTGGGTGAGCAGGAGAGAATGGTCAAATGAGATGAGGGCAGGACCCAGGTGAGTAAGAACGGTGAGGAATTGCAGGTGCTGGAACAGCTCTGAGGCAGCAGGGGTTAGCTCAATGTCTGTCCAGGAGCTCAAGGAGTTTGTCAGTCTTCAGAGGTAAATATTTCACAAATGCACTGTGTTAATCAAAACTGTGTATGTTTCCTTCCGTAGCCAGGACAGAGGTGTACACAGGGAACTGACTCGAGTACCCCTCCCTACCCAGCTATACAACTGGGCCGCACCAGAAGTGATCTTACAGAAGGCAGCCACAGTGAAATCCGACATCTACAGCTTTTCTATGATCATACAGGAGATTTTAACAGGTAGATAGATCAAAAGTCCTTATTCTGAGGTTGTTTTATTTTCCCCCAGGAGTTACTTTTATAAAAATGCAGGACTTAGAAACAAGAGATTTCTTCAAGGAAACCTTTTCTGTGCTTATGGAAGATGAGATGATCTCCCACACATTTTTCTCTTTTAACTGTTCTTTAAGACTTAGCAAAGTGGCCATGGCTTTACTAAACTCTGGTGTGGCCATGTGCTCTTTGAGCTGTGGCCGCACCACAATGTTTTTGGGGTTTTTTTGTTTGTTTGTTTTTTGTGTTTTTTTTGAGTTGGACTCTCACTCAGTCGCCCAGACTGGAGTGCAGTGGCCGCTCCCGGCCACCGCAGCCTCGACCTGCTGGGCTCCAGCAATCCTTCCGCCTCAGCCTTCCGAGTAGCCGGAATTACAGGCACGCGCTACCACGCCTGGCTAATTTTTTGATTTATTGTAGAGATGAGGTCTCACCAAGTTGCCTAGGCGGGTCTCGAACCTGCGGGCTCAGGCAATTCACTCACCTTGGCCTCCCAAAGTATGGAATTACAGGCTGAGCCACCGAGCCCAGCCTAATTTACTTTCTAAACAAACTATATTTTCTAATCTAAAAAAAAAAAAATTAAGCAAAGCCCACCCATCTGCTTGTGAATGACAATGCGTTTAATCCAAGTAAAGTTTTAAATCTAAATATTGGTGTCAATACTTAAGATCTCTGTGAGGTACCCTTAAGGTCTCGTAAATGAAGAGAAAAGTGGCCACTAAGAAGTAAAGTATGAAACTAAACACACCCAGGGTCCAGTAGATGTAAAAGCAGTGTCACTTGAATCAAGAAAAATTAGCCAGGTGAGATGGCGCACATCTATAGTTCCAGCTATTTGGAAGGCTAAGGCAGAAAGATCACCTGAGCCCAGGGATATGAGACTAACCTGGATAACTGACAGAACTCTAATGTGAGGAAGATAGTCACATATCTGATAACAGAAGGAATCCTTCAAGAGAAGGACACACACACACACAGAGTAAAACCACACTCATAGAGGGGAGAGGTGAAAGCTGCCTTTTCACAGTGTTTGCAGTCCCACACTTTGAAGAGATGACTGCATTGGGCTACCCAGCCTAGTGCCATGAAATAGTTCCTTCTGGTTCCCAGGTCTGCTGGTGGGGAGTTCATGTGTACAGACACTGATGCTACTATTTCCTGTGGCAGGGGTTTTCCTGGTAAATGGGTAAAGTGTCTTCTCACTTGTAATTGGACTTCCAGGTAGTTTTTCTGCAGACAGAAATTAATGTTTAGAGCCGTTAAGTGACTTAAGCCCATCAGATTTCTTTTTTCTCCTCCCCTCTATCCCCTGCTTTCTTAATGTTATTTCTTCCTATGACTTTTGTCTTACAGATAACATACCTTGGGATGGCTTAGATGGCTCAGTTATTAAAGAAGCCATAGTCTTGGGAAATTATTTAGAAGCTGATGTCAGGCTTCCAAAACCTTACTATGATATTGTTAAGTCAGGCATCCAGGTCAAGCAGAAAGACCGAACAATAAATCTTCAAGACATCCGGTATATTCTGAAGAATGACTTACAGGCAAGCCCTGAAGCTATTGGGAAGTTATTTCTGCTTAGCCGTCTCAGGAGAGTGGGGGTTAGAGACCAAGAAAAAACTAGAGACCAACTTGTAAGGAATTTTGGAAATCCTCACTTTATGACACCCTTTCTGTGTTCCTGCGAAAAAACTAACTGCTTAACTAGATGAGAGCAGCAGGTAACTGGGAAGGTTCGACACACTGTGGGCACAGAGTGGAGATTCAGTGAATGGTCGTTATTATTATTGTTTCCATGGTATTGGTAAAAACAATACATTAGCTAATTAGGACTGTAGGTCTGTCTACACAACAGTAGTAAGAGGTAGTTTATCTGATTGGATTCTAAAATTTCAGTGACATTCAGATGACTGTGTCTATGTCCTTGACTATTTGTGATACAGGATTTTATTGGAGACCAGAGAACTCAGCCAACTGAGAGCCCCAGGGTGCAGAGATATGGATTCCATCCTGATGTCAATGTCTATCTAGGACTGGCTTCAGAGCATCCAAAAGAGACCCCTGACTTGGAAATCATAGAGCTAAAGGAAACAGGTATGGCCTTAAGCATCACTTTGACACGAATGTGTTCGGAGAATCACATGAGCTGCAATAGACTCCTCCAAGCAGTACATGTAGCTTCTGCTGGGAAAAGATGGATGCCTTAGGGAAAAATCAAGATCCTTAAAATTAAGTTAAATTTTTTGGATTTAAAACTATATGCTCATTATACAAAATTTGGAACAGTTAAGAGAAGAAAATTACTTTCCATTTAATTTTTGTTACCTTTTTTTTTTTTTTTTTTTTGAGTAGGAGTTTCACTCTGTCACCCAGGCTAGAGTGCAATGGCACACTCACGGCCACTGCAGCCTTGACTTGCTGGGCTCAGATGATCCTTCCATCTCAGTTTTCCAAGTAGCTGGAACCACAGGTGTGCACCACCATGCCTGGCTAATTTTTTAAATTGCCCAGGCTTGTCTTGAATCCCTGGACTCAGGCAATCCTCTCACCTTGGCCTCCCAAAGTGTTGGGATTACAGGTGTAAGAAGTTTGACGCCAGTAATGACTCCACACCTGGCCAGGACCAAGAGATTTATTAAAGTGGCTGTTACAAGGGAAAAGGGAAAGGGTCTGTGTAGAGAGAGAGAGAGAGAGGAAGTGGGAGATAGGCGGGGAGAGAGCTGCAGAGAGGGAGAGAGCGACAGAGAGAGACAGAAAGAGAGAGCGAGAGAGAGGAACAGAGACCGAGAGAGAGAAAGAAAGAGAAACCAAGAGAGAGAGTTGCGGGGAGAGGGCTGTATTTATCAGCCCTACAGGGGCTGGAAGGGGCCGTGCTATGCTCCTATTGGAGGAACTGCATGGGAGTAGGGTGGAGCCAATGCCGTGTTATGGTCCTATTGGACGCATAACAAGGCTGTCTACTGATTGGAGGCTTGCAAGTTTGAAATTGACGTGCCTGGGAAAGTTTGAAATTGATGCAGGAAGGTTTGAAATTGACCTATCGGGAGGTTTGAAATTGGCACGCGTGGGGAATTGTGCTCTCAGAGGCCGGACCGAGCGCCTTTGTTGTCCTGTGTGTTAGCGCCGTTTTGGGAGCTGCCCCTCTGGTCGCTTCCTGCACCTTTCAACAGGCATGAGCCACCATGCCTGGCTTTACTACTTTTTAGTACGTTTGAAAACCTTAGAATTTAGAACTGTAAAGGATCTTACACTCATCAGTCTTACAGCCCTCATATTACAGATGAGAAACTAAGATTCAGAGAGGTTATGGCCTGCTATGGCCTGATCAGAATTATAGAGAGCTTGTTACAGACTGGAACCCAGGCCTTCCAATTCCAGTCAAATTACCATTCATTCTGACTCTCCTTGGAGGCCTCCAGTGTGGTCCCCCGAGCTCTCATTACTTTGACAGAGTGGTATACCTGTCAACCAATGGTGGTGGGTGGTCATTCCTAGAGTTATTTTTTGAATTATTTATCCCTCCAATGATGCAGTGGCTTCTTGGGTAGTATCTTGGCTACTTTTATCCAGTTGCTCACCAAGAGTATAACTTTAACTGAGATAGTCTGTGTATGTATAGAAAGTTATGAGGCTGGGCACAGTGGCTCACACCTATAATCCCAGCACTTTGGGAGGCCAAGGATGGAGGATGACTTGAGCCTAGGAGTTTGAGACTAACCTAGGTAACATGGTGAGAACTTATCTTCACAAAAAATAAAAAACTTAGCCAGGCATTGTGGCACACCCCTGTAGTCCCAGCTACTTGGGAGATTGAGGCAGGAAGATTGCTTGAGCCCAGGAGTTTAAGGCTGTCATGAGCTGTGATTGTGCCACTGCATTCCAGCCTGGGTGAAAGACGGTGAGACCCCCAACTCAAAGAAAAAGAAATCTAAGAATGTGTCCAGGCATGGTGGTTCATGCCTATAATTCTAGCAGTTTGGGAGGCTGAAGTGGGAGGATTGCTTTAGGCCAGGAGTTCAAAACCAGCCTGGGCAATGCAGCAAGATCCTATCTCTACAAATTTTTTTGTTTTTTGTTTTTTGTTTTGAGTTGGAGTCTCACTCTGTCGCCCAGACTGAAGTGCAGTGGCACGCTCCCGGCCACCACAGCCTCAACCTGCTGGGCTCCAGCAATCCTTCCGCCTCAGCCTTCCAAGTAGCCGGAACTACAGGCACACACAACCACTCCCGGCTAGTTTTGGATTTATTGTAGAGATGAGGTCTTGCCAAGTTGCCCGGATGGGTCTTGAACCCACAGGCTCAGGCAATCCACTTGCCTCAGCCTCCCAAATTGCTGGGATTACAGGCTGAGCCACCGACCCCGGCCTACAAATTTTTTTAAAGTTATGAATGTGGTCCTTAAAATTCAGGGGCCTGTAATTTGCATGTCCTGACAGTTATGTTATATATATTTTGAACACAGTATAATTGAAGCTTAGAAGGTTTTCCCCAGGATTTGATCTATCCCCCACTTTTCCTTTTTTTTTTTTGTTTGAGTCAGAGTCTCACTTTGTCACCCAGGCTAGAGTGCAGTGGCATGCTCAAGGCCACTGCAGCCTCGACCTGCTGGGTTCAGGCGATCCTTCTGCCTCAGCCTACCAAGTAGCTGGAACCACAGACATACACCACCATGCCTGGTTACTCTTTTGATTTATTATAGCCACAAAGTCTTGCCAAGTTGCCCTCGCTGGTCTTGAACCCCTGGGCTCAGGCAGTCCTCTCCCATCTGCCTCCCTAAGTGCTAGGATTACAGATGTGAGCCACCACACCCAGCCTATCCCCACATTTCAACTTCATCCCTTGTACGAGAAAATGGGAACTTTTACCAGGGTTAGAAATACCCTCTCAGTCTCTGTAAGCATATCTAGTAGTCTTCCACAACTGGGAAGGGGGTGGGAAAATAAAAGGCATTTTTCTGCATTCTCATGCCTCTTGAACAAGTCAAGATTGCTTAGCTGCTGAATATGATCACTTTAATCAGTTGTATATTGCTACTGTTTTCAACAGGCAGTCAACCTCATTCACCAAGGAGTCACTTTTCTCCCACTGAGAAAGGAACACTTGATGCTCAGACCCCAAATCCAAGTAGGATTGCCAAGGAGACTCAGAATCAAAATACTCCTTCTCCTGCTCCATCTGTGGCAGAAGTGGCCAGCAGCCTCAGCGCAGGTCAGGCGAGTTTCTGCAGCTTTGAAATCAATGAAGTGTACTCAGGCTGCTTGAGCATAGGAGATGACAAAGAGGAAGAGCCTATAAGAACTTCTTCATCTCTTGAGGGAGATAGACCAAACCAGGCAGATGACCTGAAGTCCATGGAGGAAGAGCTGGATAAGATGGAAAGAGAGGCATACAGTCTTTGCGATGAGGATGAGAGCTTTTCAGAATCTGACACAGAGCTCTCCTTTGAGAACTGGGACTGGCAAAATGGTTCGCTTAGTTCACTCAGCCTCCCTGAGCGAACTAGACAAGCCAAGGGCAACATGAGCAACAGGTCCATGACTGAGGAGTACATCAGCAAGTGTGTGCTGAATCTAAAGATTTCACAGACGCTAATGCACCAGAATGCTGATTTGCTGAGGAACATCGAACTGAAAATAGAGAAACTTGAGATGATACAGAAGGAGCAGGAAGAGCACATGTCTTTGTGGGCTACTTCAAGAGAGTTTGCAAATGTCTACGACTTGCCTTCAGCCCTGGGTCCTCCAGCTTCCAGTTACATTCCTCCTGTCTTGCCGCTATCAGCGGGCCAGCAGTCAGACACCAGTGACAGTTGCCCAACCCTAGCAAGGTTTCCAAGGACAGTGAGAGACTTTCAAGGGGGACATTTTGGCAAAAGGTCCAGGAAAAGAAGTGGTTGTGGCAGGAAACCTTTCACCCAGGTCTCTGAAGAAAGCCCTGGAGATCAGTTAGAGATGAGCCATCAGGTAACCTAAGCAGGAGGACGGGGCAAGCTAAGCAGAGCTGGGTTCAATTTTGCCCCTAACCTGTGTGCAGGAACTGACATATAAATGCAGCCAACCCACAGCAAGGTCCTCTTGGCTTTGGGAAATAAGTCCTCTAGGATGGACTTCCAAGGTAGATACTCTCTGCATCCCATTCCTAATCCAAAACAGCTCATGTCCTTTAAATTCATATGTATTAGATTGAACCATATGAACCTGCTGTTTTGTAGGTCAAAATGATCAAGTACTGGCAATTTGACGTGGTTGAAATTACTGAATAAGGCATTTCAGGCAGATATTAATTCCCATTCTAAGTTGCTTATTCATTAATTGATTCATTTAACAAACATTTATAGAGCCAAAGGCTGTATTAGACCCTGGGATATGATGATGAATAAGCCACAAACTCTGCCCATAAGTAGCTCAAACACCAGTGGGGGACTGAGAGACCTGGTGGTCAAAGAAGGTACTTCAGAGGAGGTGAGCAGACACCATGGGAGCTGGCTGGGAGGTGTGGCTTGAGGCTTATGGAGACTGCAGAGTGGCTCTCTGAGCTCCTTAAAGATAGGGCCTAGGCCTTGCTCATTCTGTGTCCCAGGATCTAGTATGGTGGTTGACACAGAAGAAACTCAATAAATGGTCACTGAAGGAATGAGGGAAGGAATGAATTTGAACAAGTTTGTACTCTGAGAACTGGCTACCTCTTGAATTACAGAATTTTAGAACTGAAAAATCCCTCAGACATGATTCAGTGACTTAAGCTTCCTGAGGTCAAGTGGTGTTATCAAATGGGGTGAAATAGGGGAGATCTGCCTCTTTGGAAGACAGATTTTATTACTGAAGTCATTTAGAATTGCTGGCCTATGATGATAAAAAGCAGACCAGCTTTTAGTGTGTTTTATTACTGGTTTAAGATTCTCTACCTATAGTGTACCCCGTTGTTGCCTACACAGGGCAGACAGCTCTCACCCCACCACCCCTCCCCCCCGCCAGCGTGCTGTACAACTGTGAAGGTCCAAGCTGGTTAGGGGCAGGTCTCCTAACTTCTAGACTGGTGTGCTTTCACTGTACCATGCTGAATCTCAGTGAGGCTTCAGTCCTCACTTTGAACACTTGGAAAAATGTTAGCATTTGCTTTTATATAATAAGAAGGCACAGAGAATTTACTTAGATTTCTAACCTTTTTGTTTCCATTGAAAATTAGAATTTGCTAGAAAACTGTTATTATTTTATTTTTTTTCCTCACTCTGTTGCCCAGGCTCTGGAGCACATTGGCACAGTCACCGCTTACTGCCTCTGCCTCCCAAGCAGCTGAGACTACAGTTGTGCACTACCATGCCCAGACAATTTTATTTTGTTAGAGGTAGAGTCTTGTTATGTTGCCTTTGTTGGTCTCAAACTCCTGGCCTCAAGTGATTCTCCCATGTTGGCCCACAGTGCTGGGATTACAGGTGTAAGCTATCATACTCCACCTAGGAAACTTTTTTTTTTTTTTTGAGTTGGAGTCTCACTCTGTCGCCCAGACTGGAGTGCAGTGGCCGTTCCCGGCCACCGCAGCCTTGACCTCCTGGGATCCGGCGATCCTTCCGCCTCAGCCTTCCAAGAAGATGGAACTACAGGCGCGCACTACCACGCCTGGTTAGTTTTTTTTATTTATTGTAGAGATGAGGTCTTGCCAAGTTGCCCAGGTGGGTCACGAACCCGCGGGCTCAGGCAATCCACTCACCTCAGCCTCCCAAAGTGCTGGGATTACAGGCTGAGCCACCAAGCCAGGCTGAAAACTATTAAACATAACTTTTTTTGGTATGTTTTGGTTACTTATTGCTGTGTAACAAACAAAAAAAGCCCAGAACTTGTGGCTTAAAATAGCAGTGTTTTCCTGTTTCTCACAATTCTTTGAGTCAGGAATCTGATAGGGTTCACCTCACCTGTGTGGTTCTTCTGTTCCACATGGCATTGGCTGGGACCACTCACTTGATTGATGCAGCTAGAGTTTGGGCTGGGCAAGAAGGGCCAAGAAGCCTCTGATTACAAATCTGGTGCCTCGAGCTCCTTCAGTTAGCCTCTTTCTCTGTACTTGGCTTCTCATCATTCACTAGTCTCACCCAAGCTTCTCTACAGGGCTTACCTAACTGCTTCTTGAGTCACTCACTGTTGCCATTACCCACCACCTCTGTGAAAAACACCACTCCCTCCCCAGCAAAGAGTGAAATAAGAGAGGTTACAGCTAGGTTCCTCGCCCCCACCACTGCAGCAGAAGGGACAGCATGGGTCTTGCCATCTCTCCAGTTCCTGGGAAGAGTGTGAGTGGTGAGAGCAAAGGGTCCCCCCACCATCACCCCTTGGAACCCTTTGGTGGCTTGGTGGGAGGAGGGTCCAACTGGGATATGGGAGCTGGGTTTCTGCCCACATTCAGCCCCCATTGCTTGCTTTGGAGCAAATGTCTTGCTTTCTTAGGGGACACTTCCCTCCCCCCATCTGTCTCTGGTAAATGCAGGGGAGAAAGATGACAAAAGGACAGGTAGTATCAAGGAAGCCTTGCTTTCTTAAAGTCAGGGTTCAGAGACCACAGCTTATTGCACATGTGGCCCTGGACGGGTCCCTTTGTCCTTGGAGCCGGTCTCTGCCATAGTCATAGTGGTGGCTCATTCCTGATGCTTCTATGACCTGATGCCTCATATCTTACTTCTCCCTCCATGGGCATCTCTCCCTCCTTCCTTACTTCCTGTCTTTGCCCTGGGTTGAGCATCAAGGGAAATCCTGAGTGCTGGTATAGGCATGAGGGGATCGGGGAGGTCTCCCTCAGAAAGTAAGTCAGTATCTGGGGCCTGAACGGGGAGTGGGGCTTGCCCAAGAAAGAGGACTGGAAAGGAGTGTTCCAGGTGGAAGAAATCCTTATACAAAGCCCTGAGGCGCAGGGGAAGGTTTGACTCACTCTTTCAGGGACTTCAGAGAGCCCCATAGTGGAGACTCTGCAGAAGGGTCCAGAGGGCCAGGCAAACAGTTTTAGGTTTTATCCTGAGAGTGACTGGAGGGTTTTAAACAAGGCAACGTTGGGAGATTCACAGCTTTAATAGTTGACTTTCATAAAAAAGAATGAAATCTTTCTTTTTAGCTTCCAAATGAAAGCTAAAACTACCGGGCCTCTTAAAAGGTTGTCCCGGGCCTAAAACTGTGACACTTCCACTGCTTTCTGTTGGTCAAAGAATGTAATGAGGCCAGTCTAGATTCAAAGGGGAAAATAGACTCCACTCCTCTAGGAGGCATGGCAGGGTGGACAGGAAGGAAGGGGTTGATGGCAGCCATCATTGGAAAACATCTAGTACATACATCTATATCTAAAACAATTATACCTTTCTTTTCTTTTTTTTTTGAGTCTTACTCTGTTGCCCAGGCTGTAGGGCAGTGCCACACCCATGGCCACCACAGCCTTGACCTGCTGGGCTCAGGTGATCTTTCCGCCTCAGCCTTCCAAGTAGCTGGAACTTTAGGTGTGTGCTACTACACCTGACTGATTTCTTGATTTGTTGTAGAGGGTCTCACTAATTTGCCCAGGCTGGTCTTGAACCCCTGAGCTCAGGCAATCCTCTCGCCTCGGCCTCCCAAAGTGCCGAGATTATAGGCTTGAGCCACTGTGCCCAACCTATTCTTTTTTTAATCTGAAGTCTTATATTTAGACCATATTTATTTTTCTATAGAGAGCCCCCCCTTTTTGTAGCATCATTAAGGAATAAGGCATCTTATTTTTTTGGACAGTTTAAAATTCATTTCTGTAATTTCATGTTGTTAAAAAAGTTTTGGGTTATTTTTGAATCAGTCTCACTCTATTACCCAGGCTGGAGTGTAGTGGCATGCTCACGTCCACTGCAGCCTCTACCTGCTGGACTCAGGTAATCCTCCTGCCTCAGCCTTCCAAGTAGCTGAAACCACAGGCATGCGCCACCATGTCTGACTAATTTTTTGATTTACTGTAGAGATGAGGCCTTGCCATGTTGCTTAGGCTAATCTCAAACCCCTGAGCTCAGACAATCCTCTCACCTCCACTTCCCAAAATGCTGGGATTACAGGCATGAACCACCACATCCGGACTAGTTCTTAAAATTTTAATCACACTAAATGAAAACATTGCAAACTTCCCAATATTCTAAATATATTTTGACTATTTTCTAAATATATTCTAATCTCTTAGTGAACATCTGTTACTGTAAATCTTCATGACTCCATAATAGAGTGCTGTCTTCAGCCACTGGTAAGGAGTGTTTGCCTAGACTAAGGCCTTGGAGCTCATACTTCAGGGACGTTGTGATAAGTTTTATGCCTCCTATCACTTTTTTTTTTTTTTTTTGGTCAGAGTCTCACTCTGTTGCCTAGGCTGGAGTGCAGTGGCATGTTCATGGCTCACTATGGCCTCAACCTCCTGGGATCAGGCAATCCTTCACCTCAGCCTCCCGAGTAGCATGACTGCAGACTCATATCACCATGCTCAGCTAATTTAAAAAAATTTTTTGTAGAGACGAAATCTCACTATGTTGCCCAGCCTAGGCTTGAACTCCTGGGCTCAAGTGATCCTCCTGCCTCAGCCTCCAAAAATGCTGGAATTACAGGCATGAGCCACCATGCCTGGCTCACTTTTCAGCATTCTGCTACCATCTCCAAACCTTACATTGTAGCTTTAATTTGCTTAGGCTAGGAAATATAATTAACTCAGTTTTTTAAAATTATGTTCATATTGAGATAAGCAGATCCAAAAGTCTCTTTTGAATAAGGGGCATAGACTTTCATTTATTTTACTTTTGTTAAGTATTGTAATTTTTATTGTATTTTAATGTAGTAGCATCCCCCCTGGAGATAGTATTGTCACTTTTTTATGAATGCAAAAATTGAAGTATGAGATTCTCTTAGGTTAGTCTGAATAAGGATTAGACTAGAATCCAAGGCTCAGGGCTTCTGCCACAAAAATCTGCTTCCTTCACATTAATGTAGGGGGGAAATGCTCAGGAAAGTGTTTGGATGCTTTATTTCTATATGGTCTGCTCATTCTCCACTTTTACCCAGTCTGTACTAGGTTCCTGGGGGCCAACATTTCTGGATAAAAGCCTCCAGGTAAGAGATGAGTTACTAGATATGAAACATGCAAAGGGAAATCTTGGTAGGTCTGTCTATTTTTACACATTTCTCAAGAATGACTTTGAAAATATTGTGAGTGAAGAGAAGAATGATTCCCTCATCAAAGTACTGAAACACGTTTGTTGCTTTTTAAGCTGCCAACTCTTTGTGGCCCTGGAAAACAGAACACAAGTGAACAATTTCAGCCCACTCAGGGAGCCAAAGACAGCTTGGAAAGAAGCAGGAACCGAAATACCTGTAGGTGGGTCAACATTTTATTGTTCTTTGTGTTACCATGCCTTTAAACTCCCATATGACCCTGAGGCCACTCAGTGATCTTCCTATTTCTAGTGACAAAGGGACTGAGTGATGAAGAAGAGTAGTACAGAAGCTGACCTCGGCAGGTTCTCCCGCTGAGTGAGTGGGAAGAGCAGTGTAATGGGAACTTGTAGAAGACAATGGCTGGCAGGTTAATCAGACAGTATTCATCAGTTTTCAAAAGCAAAGCATCTTGCCTTTCCCAAACTTCCCATATAGTTTTTCTCATAAAAATAAATGCCAGATATTCTTTTTTTTTTTTTTTTTTTGAGTTGGAGTCTCACTCTCACCCAGACTGGAGTCCAGTGGCTGCTCCCGGCCACCGCAGCCTCGACCTGCTGGGCTCCGGCGATCCTTCCCACCTCAGCCTGCCAAGTAGCTGGAACTACAGGTGTGTGCTACCATGCCCGGCTAATTTTTTGATTTATTGTAGAGATGAGGTCTTGCCAAGTTGCCCAAGCGGGTCTCGAACCCGCGGGCTCAGGCAATCCACTTACCTCGGCCTCCCAAAGCGCTGGGATTATAGGCTGAGCCACCGAGCCCGATCCAGATATTCTATTTATCAGTGCTCCAGAAGCCAAACTAAATGGAAACCAGGTTGTTTAAAGTAAGCATCACTGAGTTCAAAGGGGAAGTAATATCAGTTTCACTGTTACCCTGATTTCCAGTCAGATCAATGAAATGAATTGGCTTTAGCACAGACTGCTGGGAGGACAGTATATATGTATACTGAGTTGTTTTTGTTTTTGTTTTTGTTTTGAGTCACAGTCTCACTCTGTCGCCCAGTCTGGAGTGCAGTGGCATGCTCACGGCTACCACAACCTTGACCTGCTGGGCTCAGGTGATCCTTCCGCCTCAGCTTTCCAAGTAGCTGGAACTACAGGCATACATCACCTCGCCCAGCTAATTTTTTGATTTATTGTAGAGATGACATTTCGCCAAGTAGCCCAGGCTAGTCTCAAACCTGTGGGCTCAGGCAATCCTCTCATCTCCCAAAGTGCTGGGATTATAGGCCTGAGCCATTGAGCCCAGCCATATATTGAGTTTTAAAAAACTTAGGTAAAACAAATTTAGTTTTGCGTAGGGGGCATTATTAAAGGGGAAATAAGTGTTTTTCAATGTAGACTAATATATCAGTTTTCATTTTTATTTTCTGTGAATAAATGGCAGCACTAATCCATAGCTTTGATGCCAGTTCTGGAAAAAAAATAACTTTTATTCCTCCCCCCAGTGGTGACTGAGATTAATGACAAGAGTTTGCTGATCCTTTCATGTTGGTAAATATGTATGTAAGGGGGCATGAAGGAAATGTCCATGCATTATAGATCAGTATACTTCACCCTTATGAAGGGATTAAGAAGAATCACCTAACTGGCATCAGAGGGTTTGGCACTCACAGCACTGAGAGCAGCAGATAGGATAACCTTAGAACTGTTAAATGATAAAGAAAAACCCATCATTGTGCTTTCCTCTGGTCAGCTTCATCCTCTTACCCCAAAAGAACAACAACAAAAACAAGTTTAAAGTTTTTTTAACCTATTCTGCTAGTCTTTTTGTATGTTTTAAACACATGAAATTGTTATTGTTATATTTGTGGGCAATTTTGTATCCTGATTTTTCACTTTACAATGTGAGCATTGTCCCACATTATTTTTATTAAAAAAGCCTATAAGCTTATTTTGAAATTGTTGGATTTCACCTGTTGTTGAATTTTAGGTTGTTTCATTCTTTATTCTGTTTTGAACATGGCCATAGCTAAATAAGTTTTATTTTTTTGTATTTTGAGTTATGTCCTCAGGAGAGATTCCCAGAATTACTAGGTCAAGGGCTTGACATTTTAAAGATTCTTGATAGCTGTTGCCAAAAAGCTCTTTAAAGAAGCTGATCGGATCTGACCTCTGATTCTATTCTCTCTGCTTTCTGGTCTAGCTAGGGAGTAATGCATTCTGGATAACAGGGAATTCATATCCCAGACTGAGTGCAGCGGCATGATCACAAATATAGCAGCCTTGACCTCCTGGGTTCAGGCAATCCTTCTGCCTCAGCCTCCCGAATAGCTGGTACTACAGGCATGCGCCACCACACTCAGCTAGTTTGTTTGTTTGTTTGTTTGTTTGTTTGTAGAGATGAAGTCTTGCTATGATGCCCAAGCTGGTCTTGAACTCCTGGGCTCAAGCAAGTCCTCCTGCCTCAGCCTCCCAAAGTGCTGAGAACCATCAACCCTGGCCTGGATTACACATTTTTGAAGAGTTCATTTAATAGAAGATAAAACGTATATAAGCATGAGATATTCATAAACTTTTTTTTGAAAAAATAGGATCTTGTTCAAGCAATCAAGATCTGCCTCAGCCTCTCTAGTAGCTGGGACTACAGGCACATAGTGGTGCAAGTTAATCATGGGATATTTAGAGGAAAGAAGACTCCTGTATTTTGCAGATGAGGAAGCCTTGACCCACAGAGGTTGACATTTGCCTAAGTTAGATAGCTAACCTAGTGGTAAGTCAGGATCTAGAACGCACTGAGACTAATTTGAAGTTCTCTAAACATTCTTCAGGAGCTCTGGTGACTTAAGTCCATGTCCACACATGTTAGTTATTGTGCTGCCATTCATGGGCAAGTGGACCTTTTACCAGAGGATTCTGACGCAAGGGTAGGAGCAGAACCTTTACCTGAACTATCTCCTGTGATTTGTGGCATGTGGGAGGAAGGGACTCTGAAACAGCCCAGGGACCAGGATTCTGTCTGGTGAAACTGCGTTTCAGTTGTGGGTTTCTTGTACCTCTGAAAATTTCCCAAGGGTGCCTTTAGAATCATTAAATCTGAAAAAAAAAAAAAAATTATGAAATTGTAACTTGGAAACTGAAAAAAAACCTTAGAGATCTTCTAGCTCAGTTCTTCCATTTCTTAGCCAAGGAAGGCCTAGAGAGTCCTGTGCCCAAGCCAAAGTTACGAAGCTAAATAGTACAGTCTTCCCTGTGTCAAGCCACCAGCAGGGACCTCCTGAGTCACCCAGCCCTTATCAGGACTCTACAAGGTAAGTATCCTTGACAATAAAACTGGGGAGTCTGGCGCCTCCAGGTGGTGAGAATGAGTCAGTGCAACTCCAGGAATGGCTGAGGGAGCAGAGGTTCTCTAGGTGGGTTGGTGGGCTTTGAGTTCTGTCAGGAACTTGAACAGATTGATATGTTTGTATCCACTCCCCTTCCCTCCCCCACAAAAAAAACTTATGTAACTTAGGACCAGTATGGAATCCGTGTCTTCTGAAATCTATAATGCAAAGTCAAGAAATAATGGAGATAATGGAAAGCTATCCTTAAAATGGAAAAGTGAGTATAAAGTCGTGGGGTTTGTTAGGCAAAATGAGATTTAAAGTACATTTATAACCTGGTTAATATCTCTAAGTGTACATCTTGTATTGCACTGTTTAGAACCATAGCTTCTGTGTGCAGTGGCTCACACCTGTAATCCCAGCACTCTGGGAGGCAGAGGTGAGAGGATTGCCTGAGCCTGGGGGTTCAAGACCAGCCTGAGCAACTTGGCAAGACCTCATCTTTACAGTAAATTAAAAAACTAGCTGGGCACAGTGCTGCATACCTGTAGTTCCAGTTATTTGGAAAGCTTAGGTAAAAGGATCACCTGAGCCCAGCAGGTAGAGGCAGTGGCTGTGATTGTGCCACTGCACTCCAGCCTGGCAATAGAGTGCGACTCCAACTCAAAAAGAAAATGCTTTTTTCATTTCTAGACTATACAGGAAATGTTTTTATTATGTATGAAATATATTATGCAAAAAGTATAAAAATAATACAGAATACAATAATTTTTCACTTTATATTGTTGACAGAAACTGCAACTTTAAGCAAAATGTTGTATAATGAACCAAAATTTACCATAGGGTAATTGATGTAAACAAGAAGTAAGTTCCAATGGCATATTTCTGGTCACAAAAAATCACCAAACTTCTAACTAAGGACCAACTACTTCCAGTAGTAAACATTGAAATAAATGTGGGCTTTATATACTACACTTAAGAAATATTAGTAAAAACAGATAAGATAATTATTTACCCAGTTATTCCAGTTCAGGGTCATGGGTGACCAGAACCTGTACTGGATAGGGCACCATTCCATCACAGAGCACATTGATACACACCCACATTCACTCAGACTGGAACCATTTAGATGCACTAATTCACCCTAAATGTACATGTCCCAAAAATATGAGCTCAGTGTAGTCTATAAAGGCTAGGCAAACTCAAATGGAATCCTTTCTATTAGTTATTATAGACTGGGAACTTCAGATGTCATTTTTTCTTGTTAACCTTCTATAGCAAAAGGGTCTAATTTGCAAGTTTTCTGCTGCCTTCAAATAGAGTCAGCAACCAGGGCTGTTGTTCCAGATAATTAACTGAAACTCCGTTCTCTTGCTCTGTTATCAATACTCCCCTCTCTTCCTCTTAAAATCAAATATTATGCATCAAACCAAGGATGATGCAAATGTACAAAGGCAATTATTGATACAATAAGGTATTATAGTACTACATATATCTTAAGATGAAAGTTTTTGTTTCCAGCGTTTCCAGTGATATTTTAAATGCTGCTTTCTCTTGTGCCCAGTGGAGGTGAAAGAAATGGCAGAGAAAGCTGCTACTGGGCAGCTCATAGTACCTTCTTGGCATCCTCAGAGCAGTTTGACTTTAGAGAGTGCAACTGAAAATGAACCAGATTCCCTGCTGCAGCCCCCCATTAGGGGTCCTGAGAACATTGATGGGCCACAAGTTGTAGAGCATCACAGAGAAAATGATAAGCCAGGACGAAATGGCAGGTGTGATGAAATGGACAACAGAGACTGTGATCATGACCAGCACGGCAGACAACCTGGGCCTCAAAGCTTCACCAGTAAGTTCAGTTGTGAGAATCAGGGTAAGTGAGTGTTATCAAGTTATCAGCTCTTAAAAATAAGTAAACCTGAGCCGGGCTCGGTGGCTCAGCCTGCAATCCCGCGCCTTTGGGAGGCTGAGGTGAGTGGATTGCCTGAACCCGTGGGTTCGAGACCCGCCTGGGCAGCGAGACCTCATCTCTACAATAAAAAATCAGCCGGGCGTGGTAGCGCATGCCTGTAATTCTGGCTACTCAGAAGGCTGAGGCGGAAGGATTGCCGGAGCCCAGCAGGCGAGGCTGCGGTGGCCGGAAGCGGCCACTGCCCTCTGGTCTGGGCGACAGAGCGAGACTCGTACTCAAAAAAAAAGAAAAAAAGAAAAATAAGTAAACCTCCTGGCATATTTCCTTTATTGACTCCTCTCTCCTTTTCTACCTTTCTGGAACCTTGAATTCCAGCAGAAAGCAGTAGACCTCTTATCACTCATTGCGTTTCCCACTGGCAAATCCAGAGATTGATTAGTTTTTCTATTACCAGAACAGGCCCCTTTGTCCAAAGGAAGGAAAATAATCTCCACACACTGATCCTGTCATGGGTTTAACCTGGCAAGGAATTGAGCCTTCCTTACCTGGGGATGGAGGTGGGCCACCATTGCCCTACTGTCCATGACTTTGCATTGTACTCTAAGCTGAAAATAAATCCACTGGCTCCAAGAGAGTCTATGCCTGAGGAACCTAGAGAAATAACATATGCTATCATCAGTTTATAGATTTACAGGCTAAAATCAAAGGCTGTGTATTTCCACCTGGTAATTTGCTTACATCAGTGTATGGGATGTTATTTTGCAGTTGTTTGTAAGTCAGAGGTACATCTAAAATTATCATTTATCTTAGGCAGAAAATCTGTTCGCTTGGATTTGTTTGGTATTTAGAATCTGTTCTCTGTCAAGCGTCACTCTTGAGTGGTGAGCAAAAGGGTGGTTGATCCAGGTCTGTGTTTTGGGGCCAGGCTAAACTAGCAATCTCTACTCTTTGGACTGGACTTAACTAATAGGACATGGTCAACCTCGGCAGAATATGTTTGTATCTCTTCTCTCATACCACCTCTTGCCCCTTCCATGCTATCTAAATATCAATGAATGATTTTGGCTCTGATTGTGTTATAATTACTAGGTATCAAGCACCCATCCCCCAGAACAAGTGAGCAACCAGAGCACAGTGAAGATTTTCAAGCAATTTCTGATGCATCTGTGGTCATTGAGAAATCTTACAGTGTAAGTAATATGACCTGGAGAACCAAGTTGAATGCAAAAATCTAATGAAGTATAACTGGGTTGTCATTATGTATTATGACATCAAACTAATATCTATAGTAGTTCTTTTGGGTTGGAGCGTGTGCCCCCATATCATGTCTCCTGCCTGATACTTTTGAGTCAGTTAATCTCAACATGTTGTATATCTTGGAGTTTGGGAAGAACATAAACAAGTGTCAGATTCAGCTCCAGCCTATGAGCTTCCCATCTTGTTGGGTAGACAAGACCAAGCTGTGGTCTAGCTGGTGACTGAGGTCAGATTGGAGCAGGAAAAGCAAGGCTAGGGTTATGGTGAGAGTGCCTTCACCCAGAGTATACTCTAAGCCCAGATTCAGCTCTCAACTCAGTGAAAGGAATGTGTTTGTGCCTGAAAGCTGTGCCTTGGCAGAATCCGTTCATTTCCTAACATTTACATTGCAGTTATAGTCTTGCTTCGGGGGCTTAACACATTCTGCACCATAGTCCAGCCAGACTAAGGAACCAAAATTATTTATCATTGACGTGGGGCCACAATCATTTAAAGGATAGAGAAACCAATTGAGAATGACACATTATAGGAATACAATAGTGATAAAATGTTAGGTCTTTTGATCACTTATAAGATCAGTTCATTTTTCCTCTCCCGTGAGAGCTGGAAGGACGTACCACATTGAACACACTGACTGGGTTGGAGAAACAGGTCTAGTCAGGAAAGTGGGGAAGGTATTGGAGAGGCTCGGCTTGTCTGAGAAATTTCAATTTGATATGAGAGATAGAAGGGAGCACTGTTAAGTGCAGGGGGAGGGGAAGTGTGTGGCAAAATCAATGTCCAAGGAAATAAGCCACAAAATCTGTGCCAAGAGATGACTGATGGTGGGGAGAAGAACCAGTTGTCTGGCTATGTGGTAATCAGGGCCTGGATGTAGCAAAATAAGCAAATAAATAAATAAAGAGATTGGTGGAGATGCTGAAGAAATAAGTCTGGTACTTTTTTTTTTTTTTTTTTTTTTGAGTTGGAGTCTCACTGTCACCCAGACTGGAATGCAGTGGCCACTCCCAGCCACTGCAGCCTCGACCTGCTGGGCTCCGGTGATCTTTCTGCCTCAGCCTTCCAAGTAGCTGGACCTACAGGCGCGCGCTACCATGCCCAGCTAATTTTTGATTTCTTGTAGAGATGAGGTCTCGCCAAGTTGTCCAGGCAGATCTCGAACCCACGGGCTCAGGCAATCCACTCACCTCAGCCTCCCAAAGCGTGGGATTACAGGCTGAGCCACCAAGCCCAGCTAGTCTGGTACTTTTTAATATTTTAATTTTATTTTTTATTATTGAGACTACATTACTTTTTTGTCTTTTCAGTTGGAGTCTTACTCTGTTGCCCAGGCTGGAGTACAGTGGCATGCTCACAGCCACTGCAGCCTCGACCTGCTGGGCTCA